CCCCCCCCTCAGCGTGGGGGGGGGGGGGGGGGGGGCAGAGGGGGGCCTGGGCCCAGCTGACAGCCCAGATGCGTCTGGGCTGTCAGCTGGCCGCGCGTTCCGCCGCTTTCCTTCCTCTCCCTGGTCTGCTGGAGACCAGGGAGAGGAAGTGCCCCGTTCGTAACTGCGGATCCGACATAAGTCGGATCCGCGTAACTCGGGGACTGCCTGTAGTCTATAGCATTAACCTATCATGCTTTTGCTTATCGGTTAATCAATTAATTGACTACACTATTAAATCCCTAGTCTTTTCTATGTATGTAATGCTGAATCCTTTGGCACTGAGCTGCTACATGTAGTGACTTCATGAGCCTCCAGGAATTAGTCAGTCTTCTGTTTTTCAATAAGAACTCAGCACATGCTAAGTGCAAGGGCAGCTTATTAAAAAACCCCTATCCAGCAGCTTTTATGATTTCTGAGACAACATCTGGCATAGAGTTTTAGTCCAAGTATTATCAGAATTAGGAAGAATTCCCTTCAGTAATCTTCAATTTGGCAGTATTCCCAGATGCCTGTGTAAATCAGATATCACATCTATTTGGCATCTCCTGTAGCCATAGCTTTTCATTGCTTAGGTAGAATTGCTTCGCTGTTCATAAAGAGTTGTGGGAAAATGGTGGCATGAAAGGGAAACTAACTCTACATTACACTGCACTTGTAGCACCTCCATGATGTAGGATTAGTTGACTTTTATACTTAAAATAGGGATTCTGTCTGTTTAAATGAATAACAAAGTGTATCCTTGCACTGGACATCGAATGAATTTTCTGGGAATTAACAAGTAAAGCCACTAATTATAGTTAAAATAATGTAAAATGGGCTATTTAATATTTTTCTGAGACTCATTTCTTTTTTTCTTTTCTCCAGGCTAGCAGATGGCTTTGATGCTCACCCTTCAAGCTTTAGATATAGTTAAAAATCATTTGAAACTCAGGGTCTCTGAGTGTTATCAGAATTAAAATAAGTATTGCTATCATTACTACTTACAGATTACATTTGAAGACACATATTGTGCGTAAGCAAAGGTATTAAGAATAGTTGTTGTATGTAATTGTTATTATGCCTGTAGTCAAGGCCAAGCCAGTAGGTCAGTCATTGCTAAATAGTGTCATTGTGACAGCAGGGGTAACTCAACCAATCATCACAATTCTTCTCTAGTCCCTAGGCATGCTAGACAGGACAGAAAAAGGAAGACTCACAGGAAAATATTTTAACCTCATCTCCAGTAGCAAGCTGTTTAAGCAGTATGGTCGGACCTTTGGTGTCAGTGTGAGGTGAGTGTGTGTGATGTGAGTATACCTGCTGGGGATCATTTATATCATGGAAATGTGGTTTTACTTTTTTTTTCTTCAAATTCCCATGAATCCCTGAGGTAAGCACCATGGTCCTGATTCTTCATTGCCTTTCACATCATGCAGTAATCTGCAGCTATGCAAAATGCAGCCATTTTGATAGTCGTGTTTACACGCATTTTTACACTCACTGCACACAGAGGGAAGTGAGTATAAAGCTGTGAAGAAGCAGGCCACACACTGTCACCAGCTGCCTCTCCCTGCCCACTACACCTCACTCCAATATGAGCAGAGATATGTATCTGCCTTCTTCCCCCATGCACATGAGGAGCTGCATGAAGTAGGACAGAGCAATTAGAATTCAGAAATGAAGGGGAATTCTGAGTTAGGCTGGAGCATTAGATTACATCCATGGAAAATGTGGGTGTCAGGAGGAAGGTGGTTTATTTTATTTTTATGAATGCGAAGTTATACTACGGTGTTAACATACTACCTCATGTGTTGCTTATCCAGGAGCAGGTTAGTATTTGAAGGCTCTGGCTAAGGATTCTGGCTTGCTGGCTGGGACTCCTTGAAATGCCATTTTAGTACTGTTCTTCACAAATATGCTGCAGAAGAAGGCAGAAAGGAAGTATCCTCTTGAAATTTCAAAAGCCTCATAGTTTCTTAGTGTTCCTTTAATGGGGAAAAAAAATCAGTGGTACATTAGGTTAAATCATACAGAAAGAAACAATCAAAATCCTCCTCTCTTGCTTTCTTCACTTTCAATTAGTGAAAACTAAAATAATCGTAACACTTTAATCTCCACCTCACTATTTATTCTGCTTGGTTACATTTTGCATTTCACTTACTTTGAATGGTACAACCAGACAGGTTGTCATCATTGCCTTTTGTTCGTTTCGCATTCAGGTTCTCATGCAGTAATATACTACTGCCATGTTAGACTGCAAGCAGCACTAAGGAGGAATGGTCCTTTGTTTAAAACAACATTTTCCAGTAACATGGCAGCCAGAGGGGCTGGAACAATTTCCATAATGAAGGTGCTCAAGGCCATTGAGCCAAACTGTTAACCCTATCTATGTAATGGAAGCCACTTCAAGCCAGGGGATGCAGCTATTCCCCAGAATCTCTAGTTCCAGCACCTATGACATAAGTTTCATGAGTGTCAGTGCTTTGCCTGAAGATTGGTATACACACAAGGACAGCTGGTGAGCTGGACAGATAGATTTGAAAGAGTGAGCCCCTTCTAGGCCTACCCACATGCAACTTAGGTCTGCTCTGTGAAATCACTCTGCTGTGAGGGGAAAGGAATAGAGAGCAATTCCCATAGCTGGTCAATTTCTCTTTGAAGTCAGGCATGGCTGGCAGACACAATAGCATGAACTCTTTCTGAACAGGAAAAACTGACATGGGGATTAAGAAACAGACAAAGCGGAAGGGGGAGGAGGGAAAGTGGACTAACCAGCTCTGTGCATATCTTTCTGAGGGAGATGTGTATACTGTCAGTGAGTGGCCACAAGACTGCTAGCATTGAATGAGGATGCTAGAGATGGCCAGGACTGGAGACAGAATGCAAAATGGAAATAAACAAAAATGAAGGGCAAACCAAAGGAGTAAATTAAAAGGAGACACAATAGCCAAATTCCCCCTAACTGAAACTTGGCAGCTCGTCCCTGTCCTTTCTGTAGTTGGGCTATGCCCAATGTTCACATGTGGTGTGCTGAGTTTCACTTCTCTGTGGCTGAAAAGGCATTGTATATGGTGTCTGACCTAATCTCAGTCTCAACATTAGCTCAAAGCAGCTACAAACCCACTGAGGTGCACTGAAAATTGACAGCAGAACAGTAAACAAAAGATTAGGAGATGCAGCAACCGATTGAACAGTAAGAAGTTGTAGAGTGGAGGGTATCACAGGAATACCAGTTTGGGAACCTATGCGTGTTTGATAGACCATCTTGATGCAGCTGTGTCATCCCATGGAAAGCTCTAAGAGGGATTATGCTGGATTGTGCACACTCTACTACCCCTTACAAGGACCCAGGCTGGCATAGAAAGGCACAGGGAATTACTCTGCTTACTGGCTTCCCCCATGAGGTGGCTAGTCCTGGGGGTGTGGGGGGAGGAGGAGAGGGGTAAACAAAAGACTGAACTCAGAAGTCTGCAGGGACTGCAATCATGCTAGATACTGCATAAGGAGGCAAGAAGGCTTCTCCACCATATATCCATAAAGGGGACAGGAACAGTCTGGGATGAAGATGGAGGCGTTGTGAACCCCTGGTCAGTACAAAGAGACCTAGGGAGAGCAGAAAATGCAGGTGATATTGAGATATGATTTGGCTTGGAAAATGCAAGGTATCTACATTAATGGGGAAATAACCACAAACCAAACATGCACTGGAAGAGAGAGATTTGAGAGACAGTAGTGTTGAAAGAAACTTTAGGAGTCAGAGAAAATTAGATCGGAGTTGCAGTGTGATGTCAGAGAGAAAAAGGCCAATGCAATCGTGAGCTGTACATTGAAAGGAACCGTGCCACAGAGTAGGGAGATAACAGTTCTTCTTAATATAGCACGGGCATGACAGCACATGAAATACCACGTTCAGTTCTGGGTATCTAATTATCAGAAAGATATTGACAAACTGGAGAGAGATCAGATAAAGCGCTGATAAATGATGGTGATGCTCGAGGAATTGATTTATGAGCATGACATGGTTAACATGGCTAAGGGCCAGCCAAGAAGGAACATGAAAACAAGTTACAAATAATTGAAAGGAGTAAACACCAAAGAGGGGAGGACTGACTTGAACATAATAAAAAGGAATGTGGCACTTATTTAAGAGGACTGCCCACAAAAGAAAGGGTAAATTTAAGTTGAATATAATGGAAAAAAATCCTGTGAACTCTGGGGAATGGTTTCCTAGGGAAAATAGGGGACGCCCCAAGCATGGGTAAATTTAGAGCTAGACTAGGGATGTAAGCAACTAGTTGACTATCTGATAAGCATATGCTTATCGATGACTTGACTAGTTGCTTCCTCTACCTTGCTGTCTCTATCAGCGAGAGGTAGCAAGGGGAGAGCAGGGGCTGGTGCTGGGGAGAGCGGGCTTAAAAGCCGGTTTCCCCCCAGCACGGTCTCTGAGGCAGGGCCAGGGGCTCAGTGGGGCTCTTGCTATATTTCAAAGGCAGAAGTGCCATGGGGAGCATGGGGCAATGGAGAACTCTAACAGTCCCCCACTGGTCCAGTACTCCCTGCTTTTCAAAAGCAAAGTGCGCAGGGAGCACGGGTCCAACAGGGCCCTGCTAGAGTCCCCTGCTGGCCCCAGGCACCCTACAGTGCATCCACCTTCGAAATGTAGCAAGAGTTGGCAGGCTCTTGCTACATTTCTAAAGGCAGAGGCGCCCTTATCGACTAATTGAATAGTCAATGCAAATTGCATCAACTATTTGATTAGTTGATTAATCTAAATTTAACATCCCTAAACTAGACTGGACAAAATAATCACAAAATGTACAATAAAGACTATCTCTGTGTTGGCAGGAAAACAGACTAGCTGCGTTAATACATCTGATAAGTTCATGGTTCTAAGGAATGATAGGAGGGAGAACAGCTTGCCTCCACCACCTCTACCTTAACCCATCACCTGTGACCACAAGCTAAATATAATTCAACCTTGTGACACTGTTGAGAAAAAAAAAGAAGACAAATATCTTTCTGGGATGCATCAACAGGAGTACTGTAAGCAAGACTTGAAGTCATTCTTCTGCTCTACTCTGTTCTGAATAGGCCTCCACTAGAGTACTGTGACCAATTCTGGGCACCACATTTCAGGAAAGGTGTGGAGAAACTGGAGAAGAGCCAGAGAAGAGTAAAAATGAATCAAGGTCTAGAAAATATGAACTATGAAGGAAGATTGAAAGAATTGGGTGTGTTTAGTATGGAAAAGAGAAGACTGAGAGGGGACATAGTAACAGTTTCCCAGTACTTTATAGGGTCTTATAAGAAGGAGTGAAAAAAATTATTCTCCTTGGCCTCTGATGATAGGACAAGGAGGAATGGGCTTAAATTGCAGCAAGGGAGGTTTAGGTGGGACATTAGGAGAAACTTCCTGTCAGACTGGTTAAACACTGGAATAAACTGCCTAGGAAGGTTGTGGAATCTCCATCACTACAGATTTTTAAGAGCAGGTTAGACAAATGTTTGTCAGGGATGATCTAGATCTGTGGTCACCAACCCGTCGATTGCAATTGACTGGTCGATCACGATGCCTTCACCAGTCGATCACGAGGCGTTCCGGGCCCCCCATTTTCTCCCACCCTCAAAAAGTCCCATTACCTACCTCCAGCGACAATGGAGGTAGTAGCAGCTTCCCGCAGGGTGGACAGAAGTCCTGCAGCTGCACATCATTTCCGGGGGTTCCAGAAATGCGCTGGTTGATTCTTTTCCCCAGGTCTGTGATGTGCCAGGAACTTACCGGGGGAGTCCCCAGAAGCACACACGCTTCTTCCCTTCTCTGCAGGAGTGGGGAGTTGGGCCTGGAGGGGGCATGCGATGGGGGCTTCCCTGCTCTGAGGGAGGCTCACAGCGGCCCTGGAGGAGGTGTGCGACAGGACTTCTTCCTCCACGGAAGTGGGGGGGTCAGCCCTGGAGGGGGCGCCTGTGTGGGCTTCCCTGCTCCACAGGAGTAGGGGGGGAGTCAGGCCTGGAGGGGGCACGCGATGGGGGCTTCTCTGCTCTGCGGGAGGTACACGCCAGCCCCAGAGGAGGCGTACAACGGAGTAGGAGGGGGAAGGGAGAGTCCT